CACACACACACACACACACACACACCCAGGGGATGGCCATGCTGCAATCCCTTCTTCTCCATTCTCCTCCTGGAATTTTGGGCATGCATGTACACACGCCTGGTAAAGTTTCAAGCCAGGTCCAGGACTTGAACTGCGGTCAGTCAGGTGGAAGTCCAGTGCCTTAACCACTATGCCATCTGCTGGCCCCAACCCAGTATATTTTTCATACAACCAGAGCCAGGGTTCAAATTGCTTAATCAGTCATATGGGATCTGGCTCCCTTACCCACTAGTCCATGAGGCTGGCTCCTGTTTTGATTTTTTAAATATTTCTTTCTTTCTTTAAGAGATTTTTGCAGCAGAGTGCATGCGCTCACTGTAGAGACAGAGAGACAGAAAGCGAGAAATCACCCCCCGACACAGGGAGGGTAGCCATACCGCAATCCCTTCTCCTCCATTCTCATCTTGGGATCTTGGGTGTGCACACACACGCACCCACACCCAGTGTGAGTTTTAAGCTGCCACGTCTGGGACTCGAACCGTAGTTGACTACATGGGAATCCAGCAACATAAACGTTATGCCATCTGCTGGGCCCCCTGTTTTGTTGACTTTTAAGCCTGGGCAGTTGTCTTGCAGAATGTCCCAACTCCTGGATCTGTTTCCTTGGGAGCGGATTCTGGCTGCACCTCTTCCCCCATGGGCTGGTTCATCTGCCAGGATTGCTGGGACCAGGGACCCTTGCTTTCTTGCTGCTCCTCTTCCATTTCCCCGCCCCCATCCTCCCTCCCTCTGCCTCAGAGACCTCACCCAGGCTCACGGCTTTAAGTGGCTTATCTCTCAGCCCTGCCTTGCCCACCTGCAGGCCACCCGCCTGGGACAGGCCAATGGTGCGTCCCAAATCAAGCTCTTAGTGCCTCACACCTGCCCCTTCCTGTGTGCTCCCCTCCCCAGCCAACAGATTCCTCGTTCTCCCCCCAGGGTTAGCTGCCACTGTTCCTCGCTTGCTTAATGTCCACACACTCCCATCCGTTTTCCTTTTTTTCTTTTTTTTGTTTTTTTTTTTAAGAGATTTTTTGCCTTAGGGCACGTGTGCTTGCCGAGAAAGAGAGAGACAGAGAAAGTGAAAGTGAGGGGACCAGCAGTTAGTGTAACGACTATGTCGCTGGACTCCCATGTAGTCGACCACAGTTCAAGTCCCGGACCCTGTGGCTTAAACTCACACCGGGCATGTGTGTGTGCGTGCCCAAGATCCCGAGAGGAGAATGGAGGAGAAGGGATTGCGGCATGACCATCCCCCCTGGAGGCTAACTTCTCGTTTTCTCTGTCTCTCCTGCAAGCGCACATGCCATATAGCAAAAATCTCTCTAACAAAAAATAAGTATGTAAAAATTTTTTTCTCCTTCATTCTCCTCTCAGAGATCTTGGGCACACACATGCGTGTGCATGCCCAGCGTGAGTTTAAGCCACCGGGTCCGGGACTCGAACTGCAGTCAACTACATTGGAGTCCAATGGCATAGCCATTATGCCAACTGCTGGTCCCGAAGTAAAAATTTTAAAAAGAGTATGACGAGAGTGTGGGGACTTGAGGAATGGACCGTTGACATTCAGAGTTGCTGGAATTGCAGACGGGCTGGAGAGGGGGTCAGACAGGCAATATGTGAGGTGCTCGGCCTGCCCGTCCCCCGGCCCTAGGGAGCCATGGGAGGCTTGGGGTGCAGGAGGGTGTGGTCAGAGCTGTGGTCAGGGGCTTCCTGAGACCTGCTTGCCCAACCCTGTGCCCCCTCCCACCCTCCCCACCTCCTCAGGCCAGCTCTGGGGTCTCGGCAGGTGGTCCGTAACATGAGCTCCGAGTTCTTCGCGGCCCAGCTCAGGGACCGGATCTCTGATGACACCACTCACCAGGCTTCCTACTACGAGCCCGAGTACTACACGCCCGACGACGGGGGCACGGCACACCTGTCCGTGGTCGCGGAAGATGGCAGTGCCGTGTCGGCCACCAGCACCATCAACCTCTAGTAGGGGCTGCGGGTCACCTGGGTGGGATGGGCCAGGGGGGCGGTGGGACAGGAGCTGCCCCGGACGTCCCAGCAGGGAGACAGCTGTCCCAAGGGGTCAGAGTGAGCCTCCGTGCCTGGGCAGGAAGCAGGTGGGCCGGGCTGCGTGGGGCACAGGCTGACCTGGCTGGTCTGCAGCTTTGGCTCCAAGGTCCGCTCCCAGACCAGCGGGATCCTGTTCAACGACGAGATGGATGACTTCAGCTCCCCCAACATCACCAACCAGTTCGGGGTACCCCCCTCACCAGCCAATTTCATCAAACCAGGTGTGGGGTGGAGGGCCAGGGTCAGGGAACCTGGGAGCCCGTGTCCTGGGCAGACAGCTGACTCTGTCGCCCCCTGTCGGCCGCAGGGAAGCAGCCGCTGTCGTCCATGTGCCCGGCGATCATCGTGGGCCCCGACGGCCGGGTCCAGATGGTGGTGGGAGCCTCCGGGGGCACGCAGATCACCACGGCTACCGCGCTGGTAGGTGCACCTGTCCCCCTCCCCGGCGCGCCCCTCGGCCGCGCTGACCCCGACCCCCTCCCCACAGGCCATCATCCACAGCCTGTGGTTTGGCTATGACGTGAAGCAGGCGGTGGAGGAGGCGCGGCCGGAACACTCA